TGGGTGTTCCTCTTAAATATCATTGAATAATTTTAAAATGTGGGGGGGAAGAATATGCTAATTTTATTGCTAAAAAGTTTAAGATATTAAGAATATTATTTTTTTTCCATTGATGTGGCAAATAAGTTAAGGAATTTAATTTCAATTACTGCTATCTGTTAATTTTTGAAACGTGTAAAATTTGAAAACCAACCCACCTGTGCTCAGCCTGTTAGGAATCCTTACTTTGACCACAGTGAGCCCTCTGGAGGTGGCCATAGCATCACAGGAATGCACTGACATTGTGTCATCAAACTCGGCCACTTTTTTGGATGAAGCTTGGATCTCATATACAATTTTCTGGAAGATTTCTTGGGCACAGACGTGGGGAATCACATTCCTTTGAGTGGTCGGTAGTCTGACCTGACTCTGGATCGACTTTTAATTTATCCACTGAGGGGGACCAGCAGTTGGCGTAACGATTATGTTGCTGGACTCTCACATAGTCGACTATAGTTCAAGTCCCAGACCTGGTGGCTTAAAACTCACATCGGGTGCATGTGTGTGCCTAAGATCCTGAGAGGAGAATGGAGGAGATGGGATTGCTGTGTGCCCATCCCTGTTGGGGGATGATTTCTCAATTTCTGTCTCTGTCTCTCCAGCAAGCACACGTACCCTATAGTAAAAATCTCTCTTTAAAAAAAAATTACCCACTGAGGAGCTACTGTGGTAATTCTGTGACGATTGAGAATGACTGTGATTGGGTGAAATGGATTACTTACTGTTTCCGAGGTCAAGCACAAACAGTGAAAAAGATGGCCAAGCCCAGTCTGAGGAAATTGTCTGGTGGTGTGTCCAATGCTTTTTTTACAGTCTCTGCCATGCTGGTGTCTTGCTTTTTTCCCTCCATGCTGGTCCCTCAGACATCTCTTCTGTCTTCTGACTCTTCCTGTTGCCTCCTCTGTCTGCCTGTCTTTCCATCTTTGTCTCACTCTCTATCTTGTCTCCTCTCTCAGTGCAAAGTGAGAAAGCACTTTCTCAATTAATAGTCATACCATAATCTCCTCTCCTCCATTTCTCCCTCCTCTCATGATTTTGGACATGTATCACACATGCCTGGCATGTTTTTCAAGCTGGTCCAAGCCTGGTCCAGGACTCAAACCACGCAGTTAGCCATGTGGGATCCAGCCGCCTTAACCAACATGCCACTGGCTGGCCTGACATGGCAGTGTTTTCACTGCCTGAGAATCTGGGTGTTTGCCATACATCAGGACTAATGAACATCCTTAAAAATTGAAGATGGGGACCAGCCAATGGTATAATGGTTACATTGCTGGACTCCCACGTAGTTGACCGAGGTTTGAGACCCAGACCTGGTGGCTTAAAACACGGAGGGCATATGTGCATACAAGCCCAAAATCCTGAGAGGAGAATGGAGGAGAGGGGATTGCAGTGTGGCCATCTCTTGGTGTGTGTGTGTGTGTGTGTGTGTGTGTGTAAGAGAGAGAGACTTCTCGCTTTTTGTCTCTCTCTGGCAAGTGCATGTACCCTACAGCAAAACAAAAACAAAAAACTTGAAAAGGGTTGACGATGAATGCATGTATTTCCTTGATTTGATTATTATACACTATATTCATGCCTTAAAGAACCATACTGTAGCCCACACAGAGACACATTGATTATATGTAAACTAGAAACAATAATTTTTTAATTTTTAAAAAGGATGATTTATTTAAAGTTATTTATTATTTATTTTTTAAATTTCACCAAGGAGAGACAAGTAGAGGAAAAGGGAAAGTGAGAAAAGAGGTCACCAGATCCGGCACGTGACCCCTGGTGAGCCATGCTCAGCACCTTAACACACAAAACTTGCTGGCCCCAGGAATGATATTTTTAAAAAAATAGTCTACTTATTGCAAGCATCTTACTTCTTCTTGGCCTTTGGCGGGAGAAGAGAGGGAATGCTTTTAAATGAGCCTTTATCTTTTTTTAAAAAATCAGACTCTCTCTGTCACTAAGTACAGTTTCAATAGCTGTTATTTTAACACTCGTTTCAGAGCTGGACAGTTCAACTGGAAGACATTGCTTTGAGAACTTTCCTAGGAAATCAGGCCGCGGACTGCCCTCTCGTGGTGAAACAAGGAAAACCATGTCCACCATCGCTTCAACCTGAACATTTTGTTCTGCCTTTGGGGGGTTAAACTGGAAAGTCCTTGATGCTTGAGTTTTTAAGAGCATGACTTTCACAGCCCGTATAATTTCGGTGATTATGGTGAAGGAGTAAATGTCATCACTGTGGAAGTCAGGACACACATTTATTAGGATTCCTTATGATCCGAATCAGACAAAGCCTGAGCACTTTTTCAGTGGAGTTGAAATGCACTAATTCCCTGTGTTCTCCCCAGGGCTAAGGACAGTATGTACCATGCCTTGGGATACAGTACCATTGTGGTGTTGCAGGCCGTCATGACCTTCGAGCAACAGGACATCCAGAACGGCATTTCTGCCATGAAGGACGCTTTACAGACCTGCCAAAAGTAAGACTGAGGAATTAAATGCTTCTTCACATCTTGCTACGAACCCTGTGTCCCTCTGGCAAAACGAATGCTGTTCGCCTGATTGCGAGTGCTTCTTGTGTTTGAGGTTGCCCACAGTTTGAAAAAGGACCTTAGCTTCTAAGCTTCTTGGCCTCATGTCGTTGTAGGTGATAGGAGGAGCTCCTAACAGGAGCTGCTAGTATGACTCGCTTATCTGCCACTTGTCTCTTGCTAACCTGGGGTCTGAGCTACAGAGACAGTCTGAGGGTGATTTCAGTGGGGGTCAGCAATGAGCATCTCTCAAAGGGGCCCCTATGGAGGATAAAATTAGGGACTACAGTGCCATGCCAAGCCAAGCAAGAAGCATTCTGGGTTTTTGTGGGCTGCAAATTCAGGAGGAGTGTTTTATTTAAGAAGGACACATTTGAACACTTTTGATTGGTAAAAGTGAGACAAGTTTTTAGTCATTTTAAGCTTTGCTAGGTGTGTCTAGGAAGACTGTAGCAAAAGCTAGTGTTCGCATGGTAAGCATGGGTGGAATTACATCCTCGTGTAATTAATTATTTTGTAAACCCCTCAGGTGAAGAGTTTCCAAATAGTGCACTTTAACTCCATTTTTAACCCATGGAGACTCTTGCCAAAAAAATACTGATTTTAGTCAGAGAGCTAAGGGCAAGTGCTTGGCAGGTTTGCATTCACTGGTGTGTGGTCAGTAAACATGGACTGAGTTCCGCGGGTTGACCACCCAGTGCTGGGAGCTAGGTGTGCAGTGTTGGAAGGGGTGGTGTCTGCCCCACAGGTTTTAGGATTTAGAGTCTGTTTGGTGACTGTTTGATAGGATGGTGATTGAAATGAACATCAAATGAAAATGAGCTCAATCTGATTTGTGGTGTTTTTTTTTTTCCCTTTCCTATTTTCCATGGTCTTCTGTTTATTCACTGCAGATATAGGAAAAAATGCACGGTTGTAGAATCTTTCTCAAGTCTTCTTTCTAGAGGATCACTAGAACAGCTGAGTGAAGGTAAGACCTCTTGAAAGGTGAATTTTTCCTTTTAAAAATGAAAAATAGATCATGCTCAGGAAAGCCAATACTCAAGTAGGCAAAGTAAATGAAATGTCTTTTTCTCTTCCTCACTTTCCAGAAGTAACCACTATTCATAGCTGTCTTTGAGACATTTTACAGACTTGTATATGCAGATATATACATAAGGCTCACATAGGTTTTTTTTGTCATTGGTCATGTTTCGTTCTTTTTTTTAATATAAGCATTGAACTATTTAATGTGATGTTTCTACAATGTGATTTTTGACATTGACATTTTCTAGGTCAGTGCCTATGAATCTACTTTATTTTAATAGTTATGTAGTATTCCATGGGATGGATGTGCCACATGTACTTGCTTTTTCTTTTTAAATTTTTTTTTAGAGATTTTTGCCTTAGGGTGCACTTGTTGGAGAGAGAGAGAGAGAGAGAGAGAGAGAGATGGATAGATACAGACAGTGAAAAGGAAATTGAGAAATCAACCCCAAAGGAAGGGAGCTGGCCATACCACAGTCTCTTCCCATTCTCTGCCCAGGATCTTGGGACCGGGACTTGAACTGCAGTTAGCCATGTGGGAGTCCAGCCATGTAACCACTGTGCCACTGTGCCATCTGCTGGCCCTTTACTTACCTTTTTTTTTTTTTTTTAATGGAAGGACAGTTACGTTGTTTTTTACTTTTTTCACTGTTATAAATAATGCTGTCCTAGAATCCTTATACATACATCTTCATGGATTTTTTTCAAGTAGTTTTATAGGGTAGATTTATAAATGTGTAATTACCAGGGCTGAGGGTTTAGAAATTTAAATTATTTTTAGATATTGCCAATTTTTGCTACAAATACTTCAGTTAATGTTCTTACTATTTACCCATGAGAGTTTCCCTCTCGTGGTGAAACAAGGAAAACCATGTCCACCATCGCTTCAACCTGAACATTTTGTTCTGCCTTTGGGGGGTTAAACTGGAAAGTCCTTGATGCTTGAGTTTTTAAGAGCATGACTTTCACAGCCCGTATAATTTCGGTGATTATGGTGAAGGAGTAAATGTCATCACTGTGGAAGTCAGGACACACATTTATTAGGATTCCTTATGATCCGAATCAGACAAAGCCTGAGCACTTTTTCAGTGGAGTTGAAATGCACTAATTCCCTGTGTTCTCCCCAGGGCTAAGGACAGTATGTACCATGCCTTGGGATACAGTACCATTGTGGTGTTGCAGGCCGTCATGACCTTCGAGCAACAGGACATCCAGAACGGCATTTCTGCCATGAAGGACGCTTTACAGACCTGCCAAAAGTAAGACTGAGGAATTAAATGCTTCTTCACATCTTGCTACGAACCCTGTGTCCCTCTGGCAAAACGAATGCTGTTCGCCTGATTGCGAGTGCTTCTTGTGTTTGAGGTTGCCCACAGTTTGAAAAAGGACCTTAGCTTCTAAGCTTCTTGGCCTCATGTCGTTGTAGGTGATAGGAGGAGCTCCTAACAGGAGCTGCTAGTATGACTCGCTTATCTGCCACTTGTCTCTTGCTAACCTGGGGTCTGAGCTACAGAGACAGTCTGAGGGTGATTTCAGTGGGGGTCAGCAATGAGCATCTCTCAAAGGGGCCCCTATGGAGGATAAAATTAGGGACTACAGTGCCATGCCAAGCCACGCAAGAAGCATTCTGGGTTTTTGTGGGCTGCAAATTCAGGAGGAGCGTTTTATTTAAGAAGGACATATTTGAACACTTTTGATTGGTAAAAGTGAGACAAGTTTTTAGTCATTTTAAGCTTTGCTAGGTGTGTCTAGGAAGACTGTAGCAAAAGCTAGTGTTTGCATTGGTAAGCATGGGTGGAATTACATCCTCATGTAATTAATTATGTTGTAAACCCCTCAGGTGAAGAGTTTCCAAATAGTGCACTTTAACTCCATTTTTAACCCATGGAGACTCTTGCCAAAAAAATACTGATTTTCGTCATAGAGCTAAGGGCAAGTGCTTGGCAGGTTTGCATTCACTGGTGTGTGGTCAGTAAACATGGACTGAGTTCCGCGGGTTGACCACCCAGTGCTGGGAGCTAGGTGTGCAGTGTTGGAAGGGGTGGTGTCTGCCCCACAGGTTTTAGGATTTAGAGTCTGTTTGGTGACTGTTTGATAGGATGGTGATTGAAATGAACATCAAATGAAAATGAGCTCAATCTGATTTGTGGTGTTTTTTTTTTTCCCTTTCCTATTTTCCATGTGTCTTCTGTTTATTCACTGCAGATATAGGAAAAAATGCACGGTTGTAGAATCTTTCTCAAGTCTTCTTTCTAGAGGATCACTAGAACAGCTGAGTGAAGGTAAGACCTCTTGAAAGGTGAATTTTTCCTTTTAAAAATGAAAAATAGATCATGCTCAGGAAAGCCAATACTCAAGTAGGCAAAGTAAATGAAATGTCTTTTTCTCTTCCTCACTTTCCAGAAGTAACCACTATTCATAGCTGTCTTTGAGACATTTTACAGACTTGTATATGCAGATATATACATAAGGCTCACATAGGTTTTTTTTGTCATTGGTCATGTTTCGTTCTTTTTTTTAATATAAGCATTGAACTATTTAATGTGATGTTTCTACAATGTGATTTTTGACATTGACATTTTCTAGGTCAGTGCCTATGAATCTACTTTATTTTAATAGTTATGTAGTATTCCATGGGATGGATGTGCCACATGTACTTGCTTTTTCTTTTTAAATTTTTTTTTAGAGATTTTTGCCTTAGGGTGCACTTGTTGGAGAGAGAGAGAGAGAGAGAGAGAGAGAGATGGATAGATACAGACAGTGAAAAGGAAATTGAAAATCAACCCCAAAGGAAGGGAGCTGGCCATACCACAGTCTCTTCCCATTCTCTGCCCAGGATCTTGGGACCGGGACTTGAACTGCAGTTAGCCATGTGGGAGTCCAGCCATGTAACCACTGTGCCACTGTGCCATCTGCTGGCCCTTTACTTGCCTTTACTTACCTTTTTTTTTTTTTTAATGGAAGGACAGTTACGTTGTTTTTTACTTTTTTCACTGTTATAAATAATGCTGTCCTAGAATCCTTATACATAGATCTTCATGGATTTTTTTCAAGTAGTTTTATAGGGTAGATTTATAAATGTGTAATTACCAGGGCTGAGGGTTTAGAAATTTAAATTATTTTTAGATATTGCCAATTTTTGCTACAAATACTTCAGTTAATGTTCTTACTATTTACCCATGAGAGTTTCAACTTTCCACAGCTATTAAAATTTTTTCCCAGGCAGGCAATGTAGCACAGTGGTAAAACCCGTATGTAAGGAGCCAGATTCCACATGGTTGAACACAGTTTGAATCCCAGTCCTAGCAACTTGAAAAACATGCTGGGTACATGTACATGCATGCCACAAATCCTGATGGGATAGAGAAGTGGCGGAAAGGGACTGTGGCATGGTCACACCCCATTGGGCCATACTTTCTTGTTTTTCTTTCTTTCTCTCTCTGAGAAGTGTACACACCCTCTGTCAATTAGAAATATTTCCCCCCATGGTAAAAGTAATTTTGAGGGCCAGTAGGCGGCATGGTGGTTAAGGCACTGGATCTTACATGGTCAACTGTAGTTTGACTTCTAGACCAGGTGGCTTGAAAAACACACTGGACACTTGTGCATATATGTTGAATCCTGAGACGAGAATAGAAGAGAAAGGACAATTGCATGGCCATTCCCCTGCGAGCTCTCTGTCTCTGTCTCTGTCTATTTCTTTCTGGCAAATGCATACACCTTATAGCAAACTTAAAGTAATTTTAAAACCTTTGCAGAGATAATGTTTCACAGTATGGAAGATATTTGGTTTGCAGACATGCAGGAGTATTCAGGAATTCAGGAATGACCACAGCACCCTGATCAGACAAATGGATGGAGATGACTGTTGTTGCCAATCGATTCAAGGGGAAATTTCACGATCAGCTCTTTTCTTTTAGTGCTGCACGTTAGTTAGAGTGGCTTATGAAAAAGGAGCATCCAGGTAACCCTGAGGAAGGAAAAATATGTCCTTCAGACATGGCCATTGTAGAATAAGCGTTTGCCATCTCACAAAAATTTGCACCTTTGCTATTATTAACACAAAATACTAGAAGTTGCTGTGCTCTGATTAATGCAAGAGCAAATCTGGATACTGCAGTGGAGGCCATTCCTAAGCATATATCAGACACATTTTTTTAGTGTGCTTTCTTGCAGAATCTCGTTTATTTTGTTAGATGAGTGTTTTCCACTTGTTATAGATGCTGGAGAATTTGGGAAACAACTGTGTGATGTGAGGCAGGATTACAGAACAGGATTAGGAGGCAGGGACGCATCTTTGAGGTTTATTCCACAAGGGTGTGATGTTGACCCCTGCACCATGGCCTTTCAAGTGGACACTCCAGGCAGCTGAAGCGCATCCTCTTTTTCCCTAGAAACTGACCTTCAAGTACCCATAAGCATTTAACCCCTTGTTTTCAGACAGACTGTGTTTTCATATTTTATATCATTGGGCCATTTATAAAAGTTGGCCCCAGTAAGCCTAAAGGCCACTAAAGTAGGATAATGGAAAATTAAATAGGTCCCAAGGAAACTCAGCTGTTCTGTCCATTTTCTCCTATCTGTAACATCTCAATGGGGTTTCTCTTCCGTGGCCCATTGACCACTGCCTCCCTTTTTCTTTACGATATAAAGGTTGACACTTGTGATTTTTTAACCTTAGTTTTAGGAAGAATGACCTGGTATTTTTAGTGTGAGTATAAATAATAATTATTTAAAAAATAATAATGATAATTCAGTGTTTTAAAAACATTTGCTGGTTGGTGCTTTTCTTAACATTAGCCAATCTAATCCATGTAATTTTATAGTCTGGGAACAGATGTGCAGAGAGATTAAGCAAATGGCTGGGTTACACACCGAGTAGAGCAGGGTCTAAACCTGGTCTGCTTTTCCCTCAACTCCAGCTCTTTCCACTGTCCCCCACACAACCTCCTTAGGCAGGTACAAAAGGGGACAGAATGTATTACATGTGGATGAGAGCAATGCTGACTCATTCTTGAGTTAGACATCTCGGATACTGTGTTATGTTTTTGTAATGTTTTTGATCAATGGTGCTTCAGGAAATCTAGAATCAGGTAGGTTTTTTAAAAACTAATTATTAAAAAGTCAACTAGCTGGTGACTATAGCCTATTCTGAAATACAGGCTTATATAGACTTTTATACCTAAAGATTGAGTTTATCTAACATTTCAGTGCATCACGAAAGTATTTCTCTCAGCAGAATAAGGCATTTATACTTAGAGGTATTGTGGTAGCACCTCCTCATAACTGCCTAACAGTTAAGTTGGAGGACTGTGGAGCTGCCCAGTGTAAATCAACCACAGCGGAGGAGTAAAAAGTGAAGGTGCATTTTCTTCCTAGACTTTGGCTGTCACTGCAACCCGGACTGTCCAGGGATCCTGTCAGCACATTGTAGCTTTAGTATGCGATTTGTTTTTCCTCTTGCTAATTTTTATTTACATTTTTGAGTGCCTGGTTGTCTGAAGGAGTTAGTATATTTTATTAAACTCTTTATGGGTTTAACGTGGAATGTGCCTGTACTATTTTGTGTGGCTGGTGGTGTGCCTTAGATGAGCTTCACATTTAGAAACAGACATTTGTGTGCAGTGCCTAGGGTGTGAAATTATGAGAAATACTTACATGCGGAACATGGAGTTGAGTGCTGGGCCTTTTATCTCTGCCTCCTTTTTAAGTCCTTTATGCTGCTTTTAGATTTGTCCATCTTTAGCTTAACCTTGACCCACCTTTCCTTCTGCTTGGATCGCTGCGAGGCCTCACTGGCGTCTGCCACATCAAGCCCAGACTCTGACATTCCAGGTCCCCATGCTTCAGCCCCAGCTTACCTTTCCAGCCTCTGCCCTGTTTTTCTCTGTCTTCCTTGCCCCAGAACTTTGTTCCTGCTGGCCACCAGTGCTGGCTTTGTCCCCATTGTATGTGCCCTAAGCCAACAAGCTGTGTTCCTGAGCAATTTCCTAGTGAACAATTCCTCACAATTCTTCCTTTGTAAGAATGTTACTGAGGATGAGGATGACCTGGGGACTCTCTGAAAGTAAAGGTTACCGGTTCATATTGCCCTGAACACACTGCAAAAGCTTAGAGGCACAATTGGAGGCGAGGTGACCCAGGGACTGAGCCCAGGCTGACCTGACGTGCTGCTGCGAAAACACATACAGGCTTGAACTCCTGAGTTCTGCCTGCCAAGGGGTTGGCCCTGTCGCTCTGCATGCTGTTGGAGATCTCAGCTGCATAGCTGCTGCTGTGTGAGTTAAACAGGAAGAATATGAACATGGCAGGTAATTGAGCCAGTTTGTGGGAACCACAGGGCAGTACATGGTGGGCATGGAAATCTGCATGGGTAACAGCTTCCCTTTCTTTTTTTTTTTTTTTTTTTGAGAGGTTTTTCACTATAGGGTGCATGCGCTCACCAGACAGACAGAGAGAGACAGAGAGACAGAAAGCGAGAAATCACCCCCCAGAGGGGATGGCCATGCTGCAATCCCTTCTCCAGTCTCCTCTCGGGATCTTGGGCACACACGCACACGTGCCTGGCATCGGTTTTAAGCCACCGGGTCCGGAACGCGAACCGTGGTCGACTACGTGGGAGTCCAGTGACATAGCCATTATGCTAACTGCTGGTTCCCACAGCTTCCCTTTCTTTTTCTTTTTTTTTTTTTTCGGAGAGGTTTTTGCTATAGGGTGCGCGCGCTCGCCAGGCAGACAGAGACATAGAGACAGAAAGCGAGAAATCACCCCCCAGGGGGGATGGCCACGCCACAATCCCTTCTCCTCCATTCTCCTCTCGGGATCTTGGGCACACACGCACACGCGCCTGGCATGAGTTTTAAGCCACCGGGTCCAGGACGCGAACCGCGGTTGACTACGTGGGAGTCCAGTGACATAGCCATTACGCTAACTACTGGTTCCCAGCTTCCCTTTCTTCAAAGCACTGTTTCTTATCTAGTTTGATTTACCGACCTTCCCAGACACACAGAAATACCCTATTTTTCAGTCACGTACTCATCATAAAATGCCTTCTGCATTCTCAGCTTTACCAGAATGCAGTGACAGTGACAAGGACCGAGGGCGGTAATGTCAGTAAAGCAGCTTACGTTGATCAAGTGCTTGCCCTCTGTACTGCAACTTCTTTACTCCTCTGCTGTGATGTACACACATGATGAGTGGACTTCATGACTGAGGAAGCCAGTAGACAGCCAGGGCAGCTTGCTACAGGGCCTCTAGCGAGGATATAGTGCAGCCTGTCCTCCAGCCCAGGCTGTTCACTGCTCTGGGCTCGTTTGCTTTCATGACACACCAATGGGCATTCCATGGATAAAGCCGAATCCTGTGATTCTGTTTACACGAAAGCGCAGGCGTGTCTCCCCAATCCCTGCAAGTAGGGTG